AAGATATTATATTGTCTCTATGGATCTAAAATAGTGACAAGTTTACCTCTGTACCATGGCATTAATAGCTATAAAATTTTCAAAACTCTTCTGCTTTTTGAGCTTTAAATATCTACATTTCACAAATGCAAAACATTGAGACTCAGAGTTGGACATAGTGATGCACTCCTTTAATCCCAGCACTTTGGAGGCAGAGGCAGGCGGGTCTCTGTGATATCTCAGTCGGTCTGGTCAATATAGTGAGTTTCAGGACAGCTGGGGCTACAGGGAGACCCTGTCTCAAAAGAAAAAAAATAACAACAACAAAAAAAAAAAACAAGCTGGGCGTGGTGGTGGTGGGTACCTTTAATCCCAGCTCTCCATAGGCAGAGGTAAGCAGATTTCTGTGATTTCCAGGCCAGCCAGGGATTCAGGGAGACCCGGCCTCAAGACAAACAAAAACCAAAACAAAACAATTTTTTTAAAGTTAATAAACAATAAAAATGGAAAAAAAATAACAACAACAAAAAAAAAAAACAAGCTGGGCGTGGTGGTGGTGGGTACCTTTAATCCCAGCTCTCCATAGGCAGAGGTAAGCAGATTTCTGTGATTTCCAGGCCAGCCAGGGATTCAGGGAGACCCGGCCTCAAGACAAACAAAAACCAAAACAAAACAATTTTTTTAAAGTTAATAAACAATAAAAATGCATGAATTGCCAGTCGTGGTAGTGCACACCTTTAATCCCAGCACTCGGGAGGCAGAGGCAGGTGGATCTCAGTGAGGTCAAGGCCAGCCTGGTCTACATAGTGAGTTCCAGGCCAGCTGGGGCTACAGGGAGACCCCGTCTCAAAAAATACGAAAAAAAGAAAAAAAAAAGAAAAAGGCATGAACTACTTTGAGTCATTTGATTCTTAGGAATTCGGGACTTACTTAGGAATTCTGGAATGCCAACTAGCCTTACATCCCATTTAGACTTGTACCTACAGAACAGCTCCAAACACAGAGCACAGTCAACATAAATCAGGCCCTGCTGCCCCTCTAACCCACTGATGTCCCTGCTATGCTGGTGACAATTCAGGGAAAATCCTTAAGTTACCAGTGCATGTCCAGAAGAAAAAGATGGTTTCCTCCAGTCAGATTCAGTCCAACACCTCCAGCCAAGAGAGAGATTAGCATAACCTTCAAAAGGAAACATACTATTAACTTTAACAGACTTGGTCTCATAATACATCTGCTATAAGCTGGTTCTTCTGTGCCCCCAAAGGCCAGGTTGGTAAAGGCTTGGTCCCCATCATGATGCTAAATGGGAGGTGGTAGAACCTTTACAAGGTAGGTACAATTTATCTCTAGGTTATTGGTGGCATGCCTTTGAAGGCAATAATGAGGCCCTTGGCTCTCCTTTCTCTGTTTCACTTCCTGGTCATGAGATGAGTGGTCTTCCCTCTCCACACACTCCTGCTGTGATATGCTCCCTTACCACAGGCCCAAAAGCAACAAGGCTAATTGATCATGGAGTACTAAAACCTCCAAAACCATGAGCCAAAAACTTCTGCTCTATGAGTTAATTATCCTAGGTATTTGTTTATAGAAATGGGAAAAGCACTAACATTAACATTATCTCAAGTTCAAGGTCAAAGCACATAGCAAAATATTCCTTTTACATTTCCTCCTAATGTACTATGTTAAAATATTAAGATGTCACCTCTCATCCCTAACCTTCAAAAAAAATCTCACATTTCATGTGTGTATGAGAGAGGGAGGGAGGGAGGAAGGGAGGGAGGGAGGGAGGGAGAGGGAGTCAACCTCAAAAAAATAACTGTCTGCCAAAATATATAGATACTGTAATAGGGAGCCTTGGGTGGTTAGCTCAATAAACTTTCCATTAACCAAATTACATCTATTCTTAAGTCTCTGCCCTTCCACCACTGTAATTATCCTTCTTACCATTCAGTTAGTGCTTTCTAAATCTTTGTTACCTATAACTAGATGACCCTGTTCTTCCATATTTTCTCATATCAAAAGCCCATGTGTCCTTAAGGCTTACCTTCTCTATAAAGATTCTCCTGATCCTCACCAGCTCTACTTTGAATCTTCAGTTTAGTCCTCATAATTTATTCCCTTTAGAGTACTTGTGCACTTTGATAAGTACTTCCTAATAAATTCTAAACATTTGGAAGGATCAAGACTGAATATTTTTAAGTTGACTTGCTATAATATAATGCTTTCTCTAGAACTAAGAACAATTTGCTCCTTAATTATATAGGTCTGCTGTGCCCAGTTCGTACCTGAGGCCCCCTGGAGTGATTAAATGCCTCCACCAAGTCCATTCTCTGCTTGGGGTTGACTGAGCCATCGATGGTGGCATAAGTCAGTCCATGCTTCTTGAGATGCAATGCGACCACTTGCAGCATGCTGGTCCACTGAGAGACAATGACACTAGAAAGATGGAAAAAACATGACCAAGACAGACTAAGCAATCTCAGGGCTGCAGGGCTATAATGCCTTGCTAGTCTCAAGATTAATTACAAATACGGAAAAGAACCCTGTGACCTAAAGGGAAAGTCACTCTGTGTTTGGATGAGTCTCCCCCACAAACCTATGTTTAAGGCTTGTCCCACCCAGGAGGACAGTACTGGGAGGTCCTGTAACAGTTGGTGGTAGGACAGGCCCTCTAAGGAGATTCTGGAACTTCATCTCTTCTTCCTGGTCTTTTTCCCTGCTTCCTGGCTTGAGATGTCATCATTTATTCTGACATGTGCTCCTGCCAATGCCCTCTGCTTCCTCATTAAAGATCTAAACCAACGGGACCACCCAATCCTAGACTTAGGCCTCCAGAGCCAAGAGCTAGATTAAACCTCTCTACTTACTAAGTGTCCTCTGTTAGATTGTCACTGTAGTGACATGAAGCTAATACAGGCACAAATTTAAGGTCATGCTCTAAGTTTATAATACGTCCTAGACTCCATTCCTATTTAGTGTTAGAGCCAGAAGAAAGGGGTGGCTAGACTAAAGTAATGAATCCAGTTTCCTTTATTTGGGAGCCTAATGTTCACCCAATAATCCATGGTCCTGTAGAAAAGGCACACCAGCCACTCATCGTTTGAACACCAGAAAAGTCAGCTGCTAGACCTCTTAGCCCCTAGACCTCTTAGCCCAAGCTACGCTTTAAATTTTTTTTTTTTTTTCCTTTTTGAGACAGGGTTTCCCTGTAGTCCCAGCTGGCCTGGAACTCACTATATAGTCTGACCTTGAACTCAGAGATCCACTTGCCTCTGCCTCCCGAGTGCCAGGATTAAAGGCGTGCCATACCACGCCTGGGTGCTTTAAATTTTTATATGGAATTATTTCATATATACAAATGCAGCTGGGACCAAAAAGATAGCTCAGCAGTTAAGAGCACTGGCTGTTCTTGTAGAGAACCTAGATTCGGTTCCCAGTACCCAGATGGCAGCTAATGACTGTCGGTAACTGCAGTTCCAGGGGATCTAATGCCCTCTTCTGACATCTCACACAGGTGAACTTATATACATGCAGGGAATACACTCATACACATAAACTAAAAAATAAATTAAAAAAAATATATATATATATACATATATAAAATAAACGCAGATGCAGTGTGTGTGTGTGTGTGTGTGTGTGTGTGTTACTACACATATGTAAGGGGCAGCAAATGACAAAATGAACCCACTTGACTCTAAGTCCCCCAGCTTAAGCAGCATAGTTAACAGCACTGCTGCAGCTCCCTGTTTGATTTTACTACCTACCTGTCACTCCCTTGCTTTCCTCCTGTGCTTCTCTGTTCTTTAGCACTGTTTGAGACCTACCTTGGTAAGCTAGGGACCCTATTCAATGTATGCCACAAATATTTTAATTAGAAATTATAAGGATTATAGCCTTAGTGCTTTCTGTGGAGCATGACTCACAGGCCTTGATATAAAAAGCTTAAGACTTAGAATTATCAAAGACAGCAACTTCTCAATTAATAAAATAACACACTTACCTCTTTTGAGACCCTGGACTTCTTCGGACTGCCTCCAGTTCTGCCAACAGAGATGATATCTGGGGAGAGGTTGTATTACCACTGCAGTTTAAGAAATTCACTTTTCTATTTTCTTTCCCAGAATTACAGAAGCATTTCCTGGCCTCTAAGCTTCTGTCCTAATTTGTCTCCATTCACTCTCCCGCTGCAGCCAAAAGACAATTTCTAAAATTTAAGCTTGTTATCTTCCTCTCCTGGCTGAAGCCCCTTACATGACATCCCACTGAGGATAGAGCCCTAACTGCTTAAAATGACACGGTGGGTCCATGTTGCTCTGGCCCCTGTGTATTCTTCTAGGCCCATCTTCACTATGCCCTTCACAAATGACACTTCAATCATACCAAAATTCTTTCTCTGATAAGCCACACCTTGTCTTGCCTTTCTTTATTCTGTTCCCTCTGCTTTAGAATACCTGTTCCATGTCAGCTTACTATCACCTTTTGAAGGTCTGGCTAACCTCCAGTGTATGGTTAGGTGCCTACTGAGTATGTGCTCCTCCTGTTCCTACTGTCATGGTTCTAGTCACACCATATCATCATTTACTAAGCAGCCCTTGCTTTTAGGACTTCACGATGCTCCAAAGAAGTGAAGGCACACATCTGGCTCACTCCTATACTCCTGGCCTCTAGAACACTGCTAGAAGAGGGAAGGTACTATCCTAAAATTTACAGAAGTAAAAGTAACTAGCTTTAAGGGCTGCTCCCTCATTCCATGAAGCCTAGCATGGTTTGAACTGCTACCAATGGGCTTATGTTAAGAAGCTACATGAATAAACATTACCTGAGTATTGGGTAAGAAACACACTATTAGAAATATGTATGTTTTTAACACAGTAGCTAATTCGGAAGATGTTTCAGTTTTATGAACTATGGCCACATATGGGGCTCTTACTATTTTTCAGTTATTTACAGTAAATATCTAGGTGACTGTTTTAAAATTTTAATTAAGAGCCAGCAAGATGGCTTAGCAGTAACAGTGCTTGCTGGCAAGCCTGACAATCTGAGTTCATTCCCTGCTCCCCCACATGGTGCAAAGAGCGAACCAACTCCCACAACTTGTCCACTGATTTCTACAAACACACACACACACACACACACACACACACACACACACACACACACACACTTTAATCAAGAGGCAGTATTTCTTTTGAGGAATAATTCCGTTCATTTCCAGCTTATATCTTTAAAAAGGCTTCTGATCATTGTGGCTGAGGCTAGGAATGACAAATTACGATTGTAACAGAGAGATCGCAAGCCCTACTTTGAAGGCATTCAGGCTAATAAAGCAGATTGCAAGCCAACAGAAAGACAGGACTCTAGTTCCAGCACAGCTCTGTCTTCCTGTAATAGAACTCTTAGCCTTAGCTTTTACAAAAACAGAACTAAATGACTAATGAAGACAGAAGGCTCTGTAGGAAACAATACTTAGAGATGGAAGCCTTGCAACAAGTCAAAGTAATTGGCACTGGCATGTACTACTGTCTCTAGGGTCACATCTTCATGGTTTTCCTTCCAAGTTTTCCCTAAACAAACTGTTCACTTGCTCAGGCTCATCCCTAGCATAAAATCAGCAGCCTTTCCCAAGTAATCTGTGACAGAAAACTCCTTGATGGCAGAGCTGTCCCAAATCATTCTCTGAAAGCCCACTATGGACTAAGGCTTTAGGGTTCTCTGTGACATAAAGTGAGGCTTTAAGACTAGAGGGAGAATCCAATCAGCTACAATCTAATAGTTCTAACTCTGCTATCAAATGGCTATACCCATTTGTACAAACAAGGTGCTCCACACAGGAAATGACAATCCAATCTTTTAATCAACCATTTTTGTATTGACAAAAGTACCTTGGTGCTCCCTCGTGTGTTTTCAAAAAGCTCCACCTTGAAGCATGTGCCATTAAGAGAAACAGTGGGAGATGGCTCTGAGTCATGGAGTTCGGACAAGGTCAAAGCACTTAGCTGTTCTTCCAGGGACAGGACAAGGCCTTCATTCTTCAGCTCTGTCGGGTCCAAGGCCTACCCAGAACAGAGAAAGGGAACAGGAGCAATTGGGCGGTTGAGGTAGCAAGCCTTCTTACTTGCTGATGCTGTTTTGATTTTTAGCACTCACAGAACAAAATAAAACAACAATAATAAAAGTATAATCTTCTTGATGCCATAGGAATAATTGGGATTAATAAAGATTAATATACGGTAAGTAAATTTCTTCTCCAAACCAGAACACAGAAAGACTCCCAAACCCCCCTTTGCCTTGACTTAGCAGACCCGATTCAGTTACAGAAAAGTGAAACCACACCAGCGTGCTGAAGTGTGCTGCTCTTACCGACTTCAGTAAAGAGAGATGACAGCAACACTGGCGGAGTCGCAGAAGCTGGGACAGTATGTGCACGGTGCTGGATCTCTGTGAGTCTGCTGTAGCGGAACACTCGGGCACACTGGACCCAAACTCCTGTGCCACTTCCAAAGACAAGACAATCCCAGGAGATGGCACAAGATTTAGAACAGAGACCTCTGGGGGAGAACTGGGAACTGAGGCTATTTAAAATTTTTTGATCTAAGATTCAAATAATATAGCTATAACACACGTTTTTTCATAATTTTTTGGGGGGTGCACATGTCATATAACATGTATGTGGAGGTCAGAGGATAACTTGCAGGCATCATTCTCTCTTTCATCATGTGAGGTCCTGGGATTGAACTCAGGTCGTAAGGACTGGCAGCAAGCACCTTTACATGCTAAGCCATTTTGTCAAGCCTTATTTATACTTTGATTAAGCCAAATAAAATATTGTGGGGTTTTTGTTGTTGTTGTTGGCCTGCCTGTATTTTTTTATTTTCAAGTATTTTATTTATTTATTTATTTATTTATTTATTTATTTATTTATT